GAAGACCTTGCCTGAAATCAGAGACTTAAGGTGAACTTACTTTCCTTTTAAATTTAGTAACATAATTGCATGATCTATAGTAGAATAGATATCTTGGGTTTTCTCCTTAGCAAAAGGTCGTCACTACTTGCATTTGATCAAAGATTTCTAAAACCAAACAAACCATTTAACCACTTTAAAAGCTTTTTGTGATACTTTTGAAAACATAATAGTTCAGTTCATTTCTTTGTATTTGTTATATTCAATACAGTGAGTTTTTAAATTATTTTTATCTGCCATTGCTCAATATTTAATGTATACTTAAGATGCTCTGAGCATTTGTTTGTAAGTGTTGAGGAATTCTTGGAGAGAATCTCATACACACTGCATTCAGTTCAGAGCAGAATTCAGGTTTCATGAACCAAATACTTCTAGACAAATTTGGAAGGAAGCATATCTTAGAATGGTTTGGGTTGGAAGTGACCTTCAAGATCATCTAGTTCCAACCCTCCTGCCATGGGCAGGGACACCCTCCACTAGACCAGGTTGCCCAAAGCCCCATCCACTCATGTGTCCTCGAACACTTCCAGGGAGGGGGCCTCCACAACTTCTCTGGGCAACCTGTTCCAGTGCCTCACCACCCTCACAGGGAAGAATTTCTTCCTAACATCTAATCTAAATCTCCCCTCCTTCAGCTTAAAGCATTCCCCTTTGTCCTGTCACTCCATGCCCCTGTAACCAGTCCCTCTCCAGCTTTCCTGTCGGCCCCTTTAGGTACTGGAAGGCTGCAATAAGGTCTCCCCGGAGCCTTCTCTTCTCCAGGCTGAACAACCCCAGCTCTCTCAGCTTGTCTTCATAGGACATCTATGAGTGGTTACAGATTTTACTGCTATTGATTATTTTTTGAGCAGAAATGTAAAATATTTAAATTTGGACCAACTTTGAATCTACTTTGGCTATTCAGTTTTAGACTTTGCTGCTTTTACTGTTTTTGGATGAGTGTCAATGCCGACCAAATACAGCACAAAGCTGTCGTCACAGATTGTTACCTAAAATGACTGGCCACTTCTGAAAATGTCAGTCATAATCTTGTTTCACAGTCCTGTTTTCCATTATGTTTGGATACTACTGCTTAATCTGGCTCACAAAGTTCCAAAGCATACTTAAAGCTATAAAGCAATGTGATTCTACGGGTGAAAGATGATAGTGTACAATTACATTATCGAGTTTTGTTTGCTTGTACGTATTTGTCTAAATTTCACAGTCGAGCTTTGACACCAGGCAACTGTTATAGAGATACATCTTTAAATTGTTTGAACAAGTGTTGCTATTCTTCTGACGTGACAAATGGAGAGTAATTTTAAAATTGCTGGGTAAACGCTAGCCAAGTTAGGTAAAAAGGCTAATTCGTTGTATCTGCCAAAGGGTATCTTTTCCTTCATAACATGTAAGCAGGGAATCAACCTTTCACATGTCTTATTCCTTGATATTTGCCTTCAGACATGATAACTTTGAAATTATTTTACAATATGAAAAATAAATACATGATAAGCATTGTTTATACAATAAATATTTTGCAAAGGGAATTCCATGCTTATTTTGTTCTTATCTCTTAACGTAATTCCTTGGGTAATACAGGGTTCTCTTCAACCAAGAAGTTGCGAAAATGAGGACTTGTTTCTAACTCCTTAGTGTGGCTATTTATATTCTGCAGCGGTACTTGATTCTGCAGATATGGGCAGTGAAACATTCCAGATCTGAGTGTAGTCTGACGTTAATGAAATGCTTCCTACACGTCTGGTATCAGCTCAGAATTTTGAGCCAAATTATGCATGTTAGATAAGCCAAGAAGGAATGGTATTCCTTATGGAACTAAAAAAATAACTTGTCTGAAAGAATAATTTGGCAAAAAGGTAAGCTAAACTTTGTAGATCAAAATTCAGGTTTATTTTCTATAATATTAATTTAAAAAATCAAGAGAGTCTTTAATATTTGCATAGATGCAAGTACTGCTATTTGGGATACCCTGTTACAAGAAAAGGTGGCTCTTCTGCTCTTTAACTGAAACAATTGCTATGTTTCTGTTCTTACAGTATTTCTGACTGCCTCTACAATATTAATTTTCTGGCTACATTCTTTAACAATAAGATATGTTTTAAAGTGAAGAACAGATGGTCATTAGTCATTCTTTGAGAGTCATTTTCATCTAAATCTGACTTGGTCCTGTTGGTAGAGTAATTGTTTCTGTCTCTGTAGGTGATTCTTAGGTCCAGTTTTAAATTATTCTGGAATATTCACTTTTCTCTTTCCCATGGCACAAGCAATCCTGAATAAAAAATATCCTCTTTTCTGAACCTCTTGGATATGGATATTCCACTTTACATGTAACTGTGCATAGGAAGGTATGTTATCAATGGGAGTATGCATACGTGCTGACCTTGCATCCCACAGTGCTGAAGCAATTTGTATGTGCTCTGTGCCAGGGATTTTTAGGACAAAAAAGTTCTATCCAGTATTGTGGTGTTACATGACCAGTGTTAATGATGCACCACAAAATCTAACACAGAATAGCCTGGAACAGAAGTAGGTCAAACCACATTCCTTAGAGGAATTAGGAAGTAGGTAAAACTTCATTCCTCCCAGTTGGAGGAGACTGGGAAAGGCAAACATTGTTATTAAAATCAGTCAGAGCTTGGTCAGAATTGTGGAATAAGCCTTTCTTCCTTTCCGCAAAATGGGAAAGGACAAAGTAGCTCATAATCTTGAGAAGCATTCTTCGTAGCTCTCTGACCACTTAACACCTTACTTTGAAATATTTCTTCAGCTGTGATTTGGAGGGAAGAGTCATCCTTGAATCAACACCCCTGCTTTCCCCTGCGCCAAGGCTTCTGCTTCAGAGAGACCATTGTGTTGGGGTTATATAATGACACACACAGGCTGGTTTGTCTCTGTCATGAGGTCCGTGCTTGCATGGGAGAGCAATCACTCTATTATATCACTATATAATATCTATGTCTATAGTATATCACTGTAAGATCAATTCTTTGAAAAACAAAGAGAAAAATTAGACCTTATTTGGCCATGTTATGAGGCAGACAAACTCCTTTTATCTGTATACGTGAGCATTTGTGCAAATAGGCAATCATCTGCCATATACTGTTATGAATCGGGGATCGTTTCCTGGTTCTTACCACCTTTCCATTTACACCTTTGTAAGCCATGTTCTTAATGACTGTTTCATTGTCTCGAACACAGACCTTTCCACATTGACAGGTATAGATAGATAGATACATATACTATCCCCAATGGAAAAGCAAAGGAAAAATTCAGAGAATTCTCACTCGCTTCTCAGTGTTTTTAATAAACCTAGTCAGTCGTGGTGCTGAGGGAACTGTAAGCATAGAACTAACATCTTTTTATGAGAATTTGCTTTTAATAATAGCAAATGATAACATGAACAAAATGAGTCTTCTTGCAAGCCTGTTCTTTACTCTGTCTTTGAAAGAATGGGAAACCAGTTAAGGTATTCATGCTACACATTTTCTATTGTTATTTCCATCAGTAACTAATCTCCAGTAACTATTTGTTTTCACTTCTGTTTTTACTAGGGCTTTTAAGATTGTATGGTCTAATAAATTCATTTTTACATTTTCAAGGATTATCTGTATAGCCTACAGGCAGAATTTCAAAACTGTATCCCATAAAATTTTGTTATAAATAATTGTTACCTGTGTGTCTCATCCTGCAATAACTGTTCATGTGTACAGCCATAGGGATGGGATCTGCAAGGTGCTGAATGTTTCAGCACCTAATAAAAGCAGAGTGAACTTGGAAAGTGTTAGAAATTACTTCCTTCATTATGCATGCTATTTATGCAGTCATTAACTTTTTTTTAACATAGTAGTTGTCTGCATAGTAGAGTGTGCTGGAGTGTTGGACAGCCAAAGTATGATTGTAAGTAAAATATTTTAGTTTTTTGTAATCCTTAGTGAGATTAATTTCTTTCCAGTATGTGGGGAAATGGTTTAGTGTTCCTCTGTCTCTGAATATGTCTCTGAATAGATGTGTCGTCTTCACTCAACACAGTGAATCCTTAGGACTTCAATGTAATTACATCCTGCACTCTACTTCCAATTAAGGGTTTGTCCATTGGCAAAGTGCTGCTTTTTCCCCCGAGTACTTCCTTTTTTTAAAAAAATACATCTTGATTTACACATAGTTTAGGAAATTCCTGATATTTGAAGAAGTTGGATTCCCACCGTAGTTTCCCTGAGGTCTCAGGTTGTTTCAAGCTCCCTCTCCATAAAGTGGGAGGGGGATGAGAGGCTGGAAATGTCTGGCAACTGTACCTCTGGTTTTTAGAAGAAAATTTAAATCTCTACTAGACATTTGGTGACACATTTTAATCTCTTTGGAGTTGATGATCCATTCTTTTACAATAGTTTGGCATTTCATCAGTTTCTAGTTAGGTATATAAGGGGACTAATCTACCTCTACTGTGTAAATTATATTTTATCACTCTTCTTTCCAGTTTTTATGTAAGGTTATATTTAGATTCTATTCTCACTATTTTAAGGTAACATAATTCAGAAATTCTTTTTTTTTTTAAATTAACCTCCGCATTAATAAATTTCTAAGTTGACTTCAGAACTGACCTTCTCATTTTTAGGTTGATATTCCCCTTTCGGATTTTTGGTGGAGTTATGGTCTCAGGACTGAGCTTTTAGAAGAAGTTAATGTGAAAAATAGCACAGCACTTTGTAATAGCTAAGGAAAATGCAATAAAATACAGACAAATGATTTTCTGCTTAAAAGTTTTTTGCAGCTATGTCACAGAGCAAAAATGAAATGTGATGGTGATTGGTTGCATGTTGATGAACTTCAACAAGAATTTACAGCAATTAGTTCCGGTTTGCTATCGTCTTGCCTGAGTCATAAATCCTTTAGGATTTGCAGAACATCCTGAACAACTGAGTAAAGATTTACGTTACTTTTCTTTACATTTTTTTTTCCTCTGACAGCAGTTTAATGACAAGTTCTTGTTCATCTGATGACATCGATCAGGAAGAAATCCAGCTCGCTCTGCAGGCTGCTAAAATTGCCACACGAGAAAAGATCAGATCCAGATTTCATGGCAGTAATGATCTTATTCACCGCCTTTTTGTCTGTATCTCAGGTATAAGAGCACCCTTTTGTTCTGAATGTAAAAACTATTATTCTTTTTTTCTTTTTTTGTGGCGAACATAAAGTTATGGTAGAACAGACTAGAGATGATGTTGCAGGAAGACTGTGTTTTGCGGTTGAAGTCGCAGACTGGTCTAGGAAGATCTGTTACCTGATGGGAAATTGCAGAATCAGAGATGCAGACATCTTAGACCTGTAGTGATGATGACTTTGGGCATGCAACAGATTTGACTTCAAAGTGCTTCCTTTTGCTTGGTGATGCCCTATGTGTTCAAGGGAAGAAATTTGATGGAAAAGAAATCTCTGGGTGTTTCCTGCCAAAGGATAAGGAAGATGTGTATCAAATTGCAGGTAGCATAAAGACCAGAATGTAACTTGGCCATTATGGAAAATCAGTTTAATTAAATGTTCAATTTTTATGCCTAACACGAGCAAGTGATCCCCTCAAAAATAATTATGAGGCCATTACTGGTAGCAACAGGGAATTTAAATACTTTTTCAAGGGTGGTATAATAGTCTAGTAATGGTTTACCTGTTTTCTCAAACTCCTAGGTGTTGCTGACCAGCTGCAGACAAACTATGCTAGTGATCTGAGAAGTATCTTAAAGACCTTGTTTGAAGTTATGGCAACTAAACCCGAAACAGAAGACAAGGAAAAGCAAAAGAAAGGTAAAGAGATCTAAACGTTTGTTTTGTATAGTGAATTTCTGCTGGTAGCCCCATGGGGATCCGTGAAGTATTTGACAAGAATTTCCTTAACATTTTGTTAGCTTTTCACCTGGACTCGCTGTACAGTGATTTGACCTAAGTTTTTAAAAAAAGCCATGGAAGCAGACTGTAAACAGGTTGAAGTCACTTGAAGTATAGGTACACAGGAGTATGACTTGGAGGCAAATTTGAAAGAGTTAAAGCCTTCAGAGTGCATCTGCTCGTTTCCATATTCTGATGTATAACAGAAAAGTGTTTGTAACCCATATAGTCATAATATAATGTATGCAGGGTTTGGACTTCATAGATTTTATTTTTTTTCCTCTGGTATTGTTTCACACTAGGCACACTTTAATTTACCAAAATGTGTAACTTTGATTCTGAAGCTTAAATAGTTGTGTAAAAAGAGCAGACTATAAGATGAGAATGCTCAGTAAGATGCTGAAATCTGGCCTGTCTTAAAGAAATTGCAGAATGCTGAATTTGACTTCAAAATAGAAAAATACCCACTTTTGAATTCTAGATAATTAAGATAATGGAACCAGGACTAGATCATGAGCCAATGCAAGAGTTTTTTTCTCTGTCACATTTTGATTATTTCTTTTTCAAAGAGGCAAGTCTGCTAACTTATCTAAAAATAACCATGTCACCCCAGCAAGACTGCAATTACCTTTGTCCTTTGTTATGATTAGAACTATCAGCATCTGAAGGTGATCAGAGCACGCTCTTTTTTTTTCCTCCCTTTCCTCGTGATTGAAAAGTTTTGTTTTTCCTTTCTTCCAGTTTCATTTAAAAACATTGAGGATTTTATGTGAAACACAAAGTTAAAAGTTAGTTTAAGTTAGCAGAAAAACCTCAAATTCAACCCAACTCTGCAGTGGGATAATGCACAAAATGCATTACAGTCCTCTATTACTTATGGTTGAAACTTCCACAACATTTTTATGGTGGCAGGATGTCATGATGTGAAAAGAGACTGGTTTTTTCATTGGCAAAAAAAAGGGGGGGTTAGACAGAATTGCTAAAGAGAGGATCAAAGAGCTCCTGAACATTCAAATAAGAGTAATAAAGAAACTGGAGCTGTAAAGAATTATCACTAGGAGATAAATGTTAGTCAACAGTACTTGGTTGGAATCATTTCTAATGGATGAACTATTACATTAAAGAAAAAGGTGTTGGCAAAAATAAGTGTAAACAAAATGAGTGAGTACAGAGACTCTGGGGATGAAGTTTCTCTGATATATGTGATTTGATGTATGTGATTCACCTAGGGAGTCTCTGGTTGTTCTCATAATCTACTTTGTAAAGCAGCCAAGTTAAGAATTGGGAAATAAAATATAGGATGCAGCTAAACTGCTAGAAGTAAGAGGACTGTGTGTCCTGTAATAACAGCATCTTTCATTTCTGCTGTCATTCCAAAGAAGAGTAGAAGAGACTTTTAAATCACTGTGTCAGGATAAAGAAAAAGCAAGCAGTCTAAGAGGGTACATAGAGATGCTACTGTAATCTAATCCCCGAAGTCCCAATGTGAGTTTAAGTGCAAATTAGAAAAATATGAATTTGAGTACTTTTTGGTTTGTTTTACAGTTAATCAGGGTTTAAGGAATGCAGCGTTGGAAGACTGTGCTTTATGTCAAGAAAGTATATCATCCTCAGAACTTGCAGCAAAAGCCAGAGATGGGGACTTTGAAGGTACTTCCTTTTTTCTGAGAATTAAAATGAGAACACTGTGTATAAAAAAAGAAAAAAAAGTCATTAAAATGAAAAGAAAACTCAAAGTTTGGCTTTGGGAAGTGACTATAAAATGTTATCATAGTATGGTTTAGAGACAAAGCCAGATGATAAACTGAGCATATTTCTTTTAGATTTTTTTTTAACAACCTTATAAAACTCTGATCTACAAATTGTCATATCCAGTATGAATTCCTTTGTATCAGTGGAGAGAGGTTCTGTATAGTAAAGGCTTTAATATAGCATATGGCATTACATCTGACAAGTTTCAGAGGGCTGTGTAAGATGCAAAGCCCTAAGTAAGATCTTCTCAGTGAAACCTTTTATATCTTTTGCTATATGTAGAGGTGCTACTTTTTCCTACCTTTCATATTGTCTTCATTTTTGTCTTGGATCAAAATATTTTGGTTATTGTTTCCATATTCTTCACCATATTTCTTCAAAGAAAACGTTAGTTAAGTCTGAGGTTACTTCAGTCTCACTGAATATATGGTAAGAGTGAAAAGTGTATATGTAAGTCTCAAAGTTTTGGTAGGGATTCAAGCATTCTGAGAGCTCAAAAGTTGTTTGTTTTTTTGTTTGTTTTTTAAAGAAATCTGAGCTGCTGTGGGAGTACTTAGGAGTCAGTTATGGACTATAGTCCTAGTATGGTAAACTTATTAAAAATTGATTAAAAGATATTGGAGCCCTTGCAGTCAAAGAATAAGGAAAGAGAAAGTAGGTGTATGCGATGGAGCAAACAAGAAAGCAATCAGCTTTGATCTTCAGGGCTAAGCGGTGGTTTCAGCACACCAGGACCTCAGTCGTTGGAGCAGTGATATCTCTGTGGCCAAGTGAGAAATACAAGACAACCATCAACTGTGAAACTGTATCTGAGCTTCCCAGAAATTCAAGTGTGCAGTAATTTCCCTGTGCTCTAAAAATTTGATCTGTTGTTGTCTATTTGTCCACATACTTGTTTATTTGTCCTGTTCTTCCAGTGAGAGGTTTTGAATGCAGGCTGCCTGAGAACTGAGTGATAAGCAGTGTACGTCTCTGCCTGTATGCAGAGAGGGGTGACCAACGGAAAAGAGATGTTGGTTCATGTCATTTGTAATAAAGATCAGAAATCACGGGGCGGGGGGAACCTCTTAAAGATTAGGTTTTAGAGTAATACTACGTATTTATAAGTTATTTTGTGCTTATATAAAACCTGTGGTTTTGTATTGTCCTTCTGAAGCTGTAGGCTGAAGGATCTCTAATCTATTTAGAACAGCAGGGCTAATTCATGTATAATGCACTGTAGAAATATTATCTCTTCTGGAGGAAGATGATTTGGTGGCAGATAAAGAACTATTCAGTAGTCATTTTAATTGATTTTTCTATTGCGCTATAATTCAGAATGTCACAGAAGGTGCAGTAAAGAACAAATCTTTAAACAAAATCCTTACCATGTATTGGCTGTATTGGAAAAGAATGCAAGAGATTACTCATTTTCTACCATTTCAGCTCATATTCTTTTGTTTTGAATCAATGCCTGATGCTGTCAGTGAATTTGACTTACAGAAGTTGAAAGGAAGTTATTCTGAACGGCAGGATGCTGAATAACCTTCTCACAGTGGATGTACATTTTCTCACAGCAAAGTCACTTTACTTCCCTGGCACGTTATTCAGCTTTTAAGGTTCTTCAGCTTTTTGTGGCGTCTTCTATTGGCACGGGGAAGGTTTTATGTTTGAAGTGCAGCCTGTGACTTGGGACGTTATTTATTGAAATAGAGGATAACAGTCTGAGTGCTTAGGTGATGTTAAGGCTGCATAGGAGTGCAGTAACAGGAAATCTTTGGAGTTACAAGGGCCCCTGCAGCACCCAGGCAGCGTGAATCAATGATGTCCCTGCCCTAAGCGAATGGTAAAACCCAACCTGTAGTATTAATAGCATATGCAGATAACTACAGCAAAAACAGCCCCATGCCTGCACCTTTGTTCCAAAATAGCGGGTGTTTCACGTATGCCTGCGTGATGGAAAGTGCAGCCTTGTGGGATAACCAAGTCCCTTTTGCATAAGTAGACTTGGATGCCAGAATGAGCTTGGCTGCCTTGGCATGGTGTTTTCCCACGCTAACACATCCTCTAGAGCCAGTTAGCCAATGCTCCTGCGAGTACTCTGCTTTTGCTACCCGTGCTTGCTCACTGGGAAGGCTTGGGCGTGTCTGAATTGGTCTCCTTGCAGACTTGCTCTGGGAGTCTTACTTGGCTTGTACGTAAGTGTTTATGCTGTAAATACCTACTTGTACAAATCAGTACAGCTCTGCTGACTGTGTAAACTAACTGGTGTAGTCTCCTGGTAGTGGGCCTTCAAATTTGCGGATGGGCAGGAATTTTCTGTATCTGAGACACAGAGTGTGCTGGGGAGCATGGAGATGAGCTCCACCTTCCAAACCAGAACAAACCACAAAAGGTCTGCAAAAAGGAGCATCTGAAATGGGTCGATCTGTTGAATTTGTGGGAACTGTAGAAACACCCGTTCTGTCCCCTCACCTCCAATACCTTCCAGGCCCCTGTCTCTTCAGGTCACGAGTTGTCATGCTGGCAACACTGTACAGGCTTTTTTTCTGCTGAAGTGTATGCAGTGATAGCTAATGGGATACATGGTTTTGCTATCCCTAAGGCATCCAGCATGAGTCATAAACTTACAGCAATATTTTAACTTCAGCAGCCATGTGCCTTCTCCCCCTTTATAACACCTCCCCACTTACCTCATTTTTGCTGGCCACTGTGAAAGCAACAGCCCCGACTTTGGGTGGTGTTTGGGTGCAGATGAAGGTGTTTGGTGGTTAAGGCAACCTTTGCTGCATGAGCATTGTGCCCTATTTCTTGCAGCAAGCCTGATGGGTTTGTCCTCCAGGCCAAATCTGGGCCACAGGCTAGCAACACGAGTACGCTGCAGTTATTGCTGTTAATGGACTCAAGGCAAAGTCTGGAAGTGTTGCACCAATCTGCTGACAGCACTGCACCAAAGTTAATTACATCCTTTTTTGTACATCATTTCTATGCTTCAGGTGACTCAATGATTTCAACTGAAAGTGAAAAATGTGCAAATGAGCACATCAGTAGCTCCTCCCTTCTGCCATCGTGGCAGAAGATAAGCGTGTATCAAATTGAGAAAGTCCAGCAAGCTACCTGCCAGGAAAGCTTTTTCCAATTATCAAATAAATCTGTCTTACTGAAAGTACCAAATGTTTAAGACTACATCCAATCAACGGTAATTAAAAAAAAAAAAAAGCCAAGAAGCCCAGCAACTTGAACAAATAAATGGTTTTAAGATTCTACTGGAAGTTCCAGCCTCCACTCAGATTATGAAGATGAATCACTTGTTTTTGTCAGATTTCTCATTCTTACTGTATATAAAACCCACCAGCTGGTCTGGGTCGTAAAACAAATATGAATGTTTATTATGAGCCAAATGACATTGGCAAGGGTATAAGAGTTAAATCCTGTGACCTTCTGAAGGTTGAAATACAGTAAACTATGGATTAATTGGCATTCCAAAACAAGCATTTTCAAAAGTACAGATGAGCCTGTGGTGTATATGTTCATCTTTGCTGTCCTAATGCTCTAAGACTTTTTTTTTTTCAAGGAAGCATATGTATTTATACTTCATAGGGTATAAAAAGCACTATATTTTTGTAGGGAGAGAATGTAAAGCAAATACATTTCTATTTTCCTAGAATACAAGATGAATTTATATGATATTCCATAAATAAGATTTAAATACAGTAAAATTTCATGCCCTGGTTGTACAATGGAGAAGATGGACAGTGGAGACAACGTTCTGTGTATAAACTCAAAGTAAATTGCAGTGGCAGCTGCTCAGAAAAAAACAGGTTGGGCTCTTTGTTACCAGTGCCGCTTGCTCTGAATTGCAGTAACAGCAGAAGGAGCCTGTGTCCCGGGACCTTTCATGGCACTGCCTTTCTCCCTGCGTCCTGGTGAGCTACCCGCCAGCACGGGGAGAAGGTTATTGGGAAGTTCCTGAGCTCCAGCTTGGGACAAACCACTGTTGGATAATAAGCTGAGCAAGAGGGTTGCATGGGACTGAGATTGGGCAGCATAGGTCACACATGAATTAAAGCAAACCTCTGCATTTGAAAATGTGAGAAAATTACTCTTGGTTAATCTTGTATAAATGTATCCCTGCTGGGACAGAGCTGTGTTACTTTAAAAAACCCAAACATCAGGGAGGTAGGAGTTTGTCTTTCTGCTGTTATGTGTCTGGGATCTTGTTTCCAGCCCTAGCACAAAACTTGCTTTGTATCAGCCAACAGTTTCCCATATACATATGCACACAGAGTAACTTCTTTTTTGTCTGTAAAGATTTTTATGTATTTGTTTCTTTATCAGTCTGTAAATGTGATCAAGCATAACTCTTTGCTCACCATATTCAGGACCATTATGTTTATCCTTGTGAGCTTGATGATTTTAATAGTGAATTTTGGAAAATCTGAGTTTTGACCATATGTGTATTTTGGGGTACCTTATTACTCAGATTCAACTGTTGCGACTGAGGGAGAATGAATGTTTTTAATTGTCAATGTCAGGAAGTGACAAGCTGGCTAAGAAAGTGAGTTACACTTCTTGTCTAGGAATAAGCGTGAGACATCTAGAAATCAGAAGATTTTTCTCAAAACCAGAAAGCATTGTGAAGCTGTTGGTGTTGCATGAAAATATTTGCTGTAGCATCTCAACTGTCTCTGCAAGCATACATTTATTTTCACTCTTTATTACTCTAGCATCTGTACAGAACTGCCTTTCTCGCTGCCACCTAGTTATAACTCAGCCATAATGGATTTGCTGTGGCTGCCAGTACAAATAACTGTTTGTGCCAAATGGTGTTAGCATCTGTTTGCTGCACAACGGCACACTATTTCTCCTTGATCCCTTTCCATCTCATAATATTCCAGCCCACCCACTTTTGTCTAGCC